TATGCTCTGCTCATATGCTCTGATAATAATAGCTTTGTAGGACTATACATTATTTGGATAATTAGTCAAAAAAAACTAAAAAACTTATCTGATTCTGTTACATAGAAGTGAATAAAAAATAATATATTTATATTCAATATTAAGGTAACACTTTTCAATAAGGTTCCATTAGTTAATGTTAGTTAATGTATTAACTATCATGAACGATTGAGTTAAATTAAAAAATCTTACAAAATTACTTGTTTAACAAAATAATAAATAATCATTACAAAGCAGTTTCGGTTTTCGGCCAAGTGCATCCAGAATTTTCGGTTTTCATTTCGGTGCATCCCTAGATGTAAGACTACATGTTTTTTTTTATTTAATTTAACAGTAATTTACTTTCAAATGCCCCAATTGCTGAAGGATCTGTACAACCTTTTAGTACAATTTCAAGTTGCACTGTTCAAAATACCTGTTGTAGCACAGCAGTGCATACCTGTTTACATTTAATTAAGGTGGACTAGACTAGACTCCTTTGGGGACATAATTTGAAGTTGGAAAAAGGTAATAAATTGCAATATATCGCAGAATATCGCAATATATTTAAAATCGCAATAATATTGTACCGTTACAAGTATCGTGATAATATCGTATCGTGAGGCCTCTGGTCATTCCCACCCCTACTACAAGCCCCCGTTAATTTCTGGTGTATGGCTTCAGAGGAGTTAGAATTTAGCACACAAGTTGTGTGAACTACTTTTATGGAGGTTTTAAGATGCATTTTTTCTCTCCTTTATTTTTGGAGCTTGACAACCCTATTATGGGAAATAAAAACACTGTCATCTTTTATGTTACACCGAATAAAGCCAGTCATATGTGTGTGGAACAATATTGAGTAAATATGTCAGAATTTAATTTTTAGGTGAACTAACCTTATAAGGTTGTCTTTCTCCCAAGGCTAACTTTGTACACAGGCGACTGCCAACAATGAGCCAATCCATAACTTGGCTTAAAACTGCCTCTTTTCCATCATACTTTCCTCCTGAAATGCATTCCATGTATTGAGCCACACTGGAAGGACATTTTGAGCTGTCTCTCTCATACCTGCGTTAAGCATGAACGAGTCACAGAAGGTCACACAGAAGATCCCTGAACTCATCTCGGGTTGATACAAAGTTCAGCCTCTTCTGTCCTTTCAATTCTGTCTGCTCATTCAGCCAGGAGCACTTCCAGTTTTAGATGAGAGAAAAAGAAAACTAAAGCAGAATGAAAGAACTCCATTACAAAAGGTGACTTCCATGTTCTTCAAAAATGAGACGTGGGCAGTAGTAATGGGTTTTAAATTGTTTATTTCCGACTCTCATTTATGGTGCACAGTGCTATCCAGAACTCGCTCTGTTAAAATGGTAATGCAGTTGCTGCCAGTGATATCAGCCATTTTGCTTTTCATCACCATCTCTCCAAATCCCCACCCTTTATAGAGATTTCAGTAAACCCAAACACGAAACATGTTCATATTTTTCTTTTATATATATAAAAAAAAGAAATACAATTGAGAGTAATAAAGCAATGTTGCAACCTTTATAATAAATAATTATCATTATATCAGCACGAAGTGTTATTTTTATTGTTTACGTTATTTTTTTTAGTACACATTTTTATTTAATGTCAGAACCCTCTTGAAATTCCTCTTTGAATTACTTTGTTGGGAAACTCAAATGTGTGTATTTATTTGTGTGTACAACTGTATGGCGATCACTGACCTGATAAACATCTGAACTAACCTTCTGTATTTGTGTGTTTGTGTATCCAGGAGGTTTCTCCATGGTGTTTCTGGCCCGCACACACAGTGGAGTACGATGTGCCCTGAAAAGGATGTATGTGAACAATGTCCACGATCTGAACATCTTCAAGCGGGAGATCACAATCATGGTGAGTCAAGCTGGGGTGTGTTTTTTGGGTGAGTACATCAGTACATCACATTTACAAAATCTTTTTTTATGTCCCCCCCTAGAAAGAGTTGTCAGGCCACAAGAACATTGTGCGGTATCTGGACTCAACCACCAATGCAGTTGGAGACAGTGTATGGGAGGTTCTGATTCTGATGGAGTATTGCAAGGGTAAAACGGCTTTGAACAAAACTGTGTTCTAAGCATTTTGCACTCTAAACATAATCTCTGTGTGATTTAAAATTCTTGAAATACAAGCTCATACTTGCATCACAGAACGTTCCACTGACTGTAAAAACATTTGTGACTTTAATTATAATCTTAAAGTGAAATACTTTGACAAAGGGAACAACTTAAACAGTGCAACTGTAAACATGATCAAATAAATGTTTAAACTTGTTTACTCTGATTTTCACATACCTTTGTAGAGGCAGGTGTTTTAAAGAACTGTTAACAGAACCGAACATCCTGAATTTACAGTATTTCTGATTAAGAGCCAGTACTTGGTTTGAAGTTTTACTAGTACATTGCATTGAGGCCTTGAAATTTTTCTGGTTTCTGCAGCCAACTGATCAAACTGTTGCTATTGTTCAAAAAACTAAAACTATCAGATTTTGTTTTTATTTTTTTGTAAGCTTTATTGCTCATTCAAAATATGAATACATTTTGAAGCTTATTCAAAATATTAATAAATGTATACTAGTATATAAATAACACTAAAATAACATTAAACAATTAAACTGGATTAAATGGATTATCATAAGCCCTTGGTTTTCCTTTCCCCTCCAATCTCATGATATGATATCCCTAATCTGGTCTTGTTTTTTTGTTGTTGACTGAATTAATGTGTTGCCATCTAGCTGGTCAGGTGGTGAAGCAGATGAATCAACGGCTGCATATAGGATTCACAGAAGCGGAGGTGCTCAACATATTCTGTGACGCATGTGAAGCTGTTGCCAGACTCCATCAGTGTAAAACTCCAATCATTCACAGAGACCTAAAGGTACAGTACAGAAAATGCTTTAGCAAGACAACTACAAGATATTTCTAAGCAATATAATGTAAATGCAGTTCATTCCCAACCATTTAAATGGTTCACTAAAGGTGTGAAGTTGTAGGCACAAGTACAGACATGTCTGGCGTTTTCGTCTGTGTGATTTTATACATTTTGGAGAGCAAGTATAAGGCACTCTGGCTGATCTCTCATTTTCTTTTGTCTGACTGTATTTGCCTAGCTGAAAGGGTAAATTGAGGACACTCCTTGTCAGTTTAGGGAACCATGTGCTGAGCGTTCCAGCTCAACACAGTGATACTAGACATGATCTCCCAAACTAATTACTCTGCTCACAAACATTATTAATGGCAAGCATTAGCGCAACAAAGGCAAAGACAGGCATGCAATGCAGTGTCTGTGAAAAACAGCAGTGCTTGAAAGAAGCAAGGCCACCCTTTTGGCAGAAAAGTGTGGGAACAGGCCAGTGGTGCCATTCAAACTAACACTTTTTCCCACCAGTCAAAACCAGCCACAGTCTAAAATAATTGGGAAATTATTGAACACTGAAGTGGAAGAAATTCGTTTACTCATTTGTCATAGAGGGATTTTCTCATGCAGGGTTGTTGTTGATTTTCATATAACACAAGGTGATGAGGACCACTGGTTGTCAAGAACCAAAAAAAATGATGTTAATGTACTGTAATAGTCAGTTCAAGTCTTCTGAAGACATACGATTTGTGTGGAAAATTTTGTTTGAATATTCTTTTGCAGTATAACCATGTTGACAAATATAATGTGCAGGATCTCATTATTGTCGTCTTCACTTCAAGAAGCATGTGTGTTCTGTAAATACTTACTCAAGATATTCCAAATTGACTAGTTGCAACCGGTTTACTTCCTCTTTTTGTGTATTTATGCATTAACCCATTTAATCCCATGGGTTACATTTGTGACATTTAAAAGTCTAAAAGCAATTGATGTATTTTACACATTGTCACTTATAAAGAGTGCAGACTGTCTTTAATGTAAACATTTGAGTGGTGTAAATATCAAGTTTGTGCCTTTTAAAAATACCTGTGTATAATATAACAATTGTATAATATGTTTATATAAAGTACTTCATTAAATTTCCTTCTTCCTCTCCTGCCTCTGTCACTTGACTGTTGGAAATTATAGTGGTTGTACCTATTAACAGAGATCACCAACATGTGTGTGTGTGTGTGTGTGTGTGTGTGTGTGTGTGTGTGTGTTTTGACAGGTAGAAAACATCCTCCTAAATGACCAGGGAAACTACGTCTTGTGTGACTTTGGAAGTGCCACACATAAAGTTCTGCTTCCACATAAAGATGGAATAGCAGTGGTGGAGGATGAGATCAAGAAGTAAGAATTTCTACAGAACAGTGTGGAGTTCTGTAATACAGTGGGAATTTTGTATTTTTTTGTAGAATTTTTGTGTGTGTGTGTGTGTGTTTTACCTACACTGATTGTATAGTTTGGGAAAATGGCAAGCACTCTTACTACTTACTATTACATCTCTCTCTGGATTACTTAATACATTTAATATAATTTCAAAAGTAATTTATTCCTGTGATGGCTAAGTTTAATTTCCGGCAGCCGTTACGCCATTCTTCAGTGTCACTCTCTCATGTCATTCTCCAGCACATTACACAAGCTGGAGAGCTGGTTTGGTCAGACTGACACAGCAGACATGGATGCCAAACCGGTTTCCTCCATAAATGAGGGCTCTTAGGGGTGTGCTTTACAGCCATCCTTGAAATCCGGGCTTTGTTTCAAAGTTGATCCTTTTATTGATATTTTGCTTTGTGTCATGAAAAATCGAGGCATGCATCAGGGTGCGATGGTGTAGAAAAGAGTAGATTTTGTTTTTTAAGTTATACTGTAACTAGATGCAATCAGTAACATTTCAGACATGTTTACTAGAGTTGGGGAGCAGTGTTATGTGCATGTGGGCCTGATGGAAAGCATTAAAGAAAAGAACTTCCTGATTTCTGTCAGTGTTGTAAAGACAGAAATGAGGGCCTCATGAAGGCAAACTTCCTCTTTAACTTTATCATGCTGTGAAAAGGTCGCTTAGCCTCATTTCACAGCTTTCTTCCAAACAAATGTTGTACAGAAAAGAAACTGTCCACCCACAGTTCCATGATAGTCCTTCATTGGAAAGGTCTCATTGTGATCAATTTCACCAGTGCAAATGGTTGCAGTTCACGGTCAGCGTGTCAGAACTTGCTTGGGTAGGATGAGGAAATGTATGACAATACTTCCTGCCCATTTGCTCCATCTGAAAATAGAAAGAATTCTCATAATTCATCTTATACAACTGCTGCTGTCAGCCTTTATAAGTGTTGTCATGGTCAGTGTAGTATTTGCTTATTAGAGCAATGAATCCTGATGTGTTGAATGTTTTTGTGTGGAATTACAGTTTCTTTTTTTCTCTCTTTCCCAGGCACTTGGATGCTTGTTGTACAAGCTGTGTTTCTTCACACTTCCATTTGGGGAGAGTCAAGTTGCCATATGTGACGGAACCTTTGCTGTTCCGGACAGTTCAAAATTCTCCTCCAGGTTGCACTGTTTAGTCAGTAAGCAGCTTTCAGATATTCACAAGAGATTTGGAATTATTTTGTGGAAGATTGTGTAATATGAGTGTGAACACAAGGGCTGTGGTGGAGTTTTGATATTAAGTTAGACAATAGCTCCACCCTCTGATTGTATAGAGGTACTGCACAATTGGCATGTATTAAAAGTGATTTGTGCAATGTTTTCTATTTGATATGAATGACTTGATTTTTCTTTTCTTTTTTGGGGGGCGGGGTGAGCTTCTCCTAAAAGCACACTCAGGTTGAACACCCTTAACTCATCTGATAACTGTTTTTCTTTTTCTTTGTCACAGGATACATGTTGGAGCCTGATCAAGAAAAGAGACCTGACATCTATCAAGTTTCTTACTTTGCCTTTCGGTTAGCTGGAAAGGAGTGTCCAGTGCCAAATCTCTGTGTAAGTTACCTCACACAATTTAATTGAATTTAAAGTTTCATATGATTCAGAATTATGAATAATTAACGAGTGTTTGATTTTTGCCACACAGAACTCTCCCCTTCCCACCTCATTGCCAGAGCCCCTTACTGCTAGTGATATTGCTGCTAAAAAGAGCCTGACAAAAGCCAGGTAACATTTTAGAGCTTTGTGTGTGACGTTCATGTTGTTTGAATCCAACTAACCATTTAAGTAGCCTGTTTTCACCTTATTTATTTTATCATTAGAATAACAGATTCAATTGGACCAACAGAAACATCAATCGCACCCAGGCAAAGACCCAAAGCTGCAAATAGTAATGTTTTACCTTTGTCCAGCTCTGTAACTCCGGTGAAAATGACTGGATCCTCAGGTACGGATAGCAACGGCCAGAAAGGTGAGCAATATAATCCACATTTTCTTAAAGGGATCCCTGGGTATTAAGACTTGTATGGCTTAATATAACGTAAATGATGTCTCTTCCTGAAATATGTAGTAGAAGACCCATTAAAGATTTATGTTATTTTAAAAATCACATCGTTTTATACATATTTTGAACTATGGGGGGCGCCATTATTCTGATGACGTAAAATGGTTGCACTCGGTGAGCTACTGCCGCTACCTGTTGCTAATTTTACCACAACCCAACTCGGAATAGACAACTCGGAAAATAAAATACTGTTATGATGACCACAGCTACTGAAAGAGCTTACAGGTGGAGATGGATAAGCATAGGCTTAAACCAAATGCTGTACCATCGATTTTTCCCCACATGGAGTCTAAACACCCCGGATCTAGAGGAAAATCTGCGCTGAGAAACTCCTCTAGCGGCCGCGCGTCATGATTAGCGTCGGCATGTTTACAGGATGACATAGCGTTTCTCAGCCTTCACATAAAAAGTCCGAGGTATGGAAGCATTTTAGATTTCGCAAGCACGATGACAAAGATACTGTGGACAAGAACAAAGCTATATGCCAAACAGTTGATGGGCCCTATTGACTTGACTTCCATAGTATGGAGAAAAATATATGGAAGTCAATGGGGACCAAAACAGTTTGGTTATCCATATTCTTCAAAATATCTTCTTTTGTGTTCAACAGAAGAAAAGAAATTCATACATGCATAAATGATGACAGAATTTTTATTTTTGGGTGAACTATCACCCAAAAGCCAGTATTAGTTTTCCTACACCGTTCATAGGCTTGCAGCCTCCATGTTACAGCTAATGCTGTGAGATTTTATGTTTGTTTTGTCTTAAACATAAAATAACCTGATCCTGTTTGATCAAGGCATGCGACTGTTCTGACTTGTCCAATTTTCAGCATCAGTTTTTCATCTTGCATCAAAATTCTGTCTATTCATTGTATGCATTTGAAATATAGAGTTGGGTTTTGTTTTATTGTACCCAAGTGTACCTAAAATAAAAAGTGTTTAATATACAGGTTTGTGGCTTAATTTCCTATTAATTAACCATTTTGTAATCTTATGTTCACTGTTCATTTTTTATAAATATAGGATTTGTATTAAATCTATATTCATTCATATAGTCAAATCGAATCGAGAATTGAAATCAAATCGAATATCGAATCGAAAATCGAAATCGAATCGAATTGAGAGCTTGAAAATCGAAATCGAATCGAATTGGAACATCTGAATCGATACCCAGCCCTAGTTTCTACTATATATTTAAATAAGAGACATTTAAGTTATATTAAGCTATACATGTCTTAATACCCGGGGATCCCTTTAAATGTGACCCTGGACCACAAACCCCAAGTTGCTTGGGTATATTTTAAGGGTGTGTTCACACTTGTAGTTCGGTTCGTTTGGTTCTTTTGGTCCGGACCAAAAAGGAAAATGATACATTTGGTCCTGGTCCGCTTGGCGTTCACATTGGCATTTTTGACAGGGAACCTAAAGACACTGAACCTAAAGGCATAGTGATAAGTTCACAACCTGATTGGTCGGCTTGAATGACGTATACATCACATGGTCTGCTCAGCGCTGCTTTAAGTCAAACACACCTAATGCCATCTGCTGGACTAAGCACGCTCATTCTTGCGTGTACATATAATTTAATTTTCACCACCTGCAAACTCACAAGGAGCTCATAAAAGGCACTTTACCTCATCGTTGCTCTACGTTTACCCTCTTCTCCTTTTGTTTTGGTTACACCGCGTCGTCAAATCATGTCGCATAGCGTCGCATCTTGTCATTACTTTCTGTTTTTGGTTCTTTTAGAAGTATTTGATCCGTATTGCGTTCATATATCATTCGAACCGCACCAGAGTTCGTTTGGAAGTGGACCGAGACCCATCTTTTCAGCGGTCTCGGCCCGCTTGTTTGGTGCGCACCAGGGTTCGGATAGCAGCGTTCACACATGCTCAAATGAACCGCACAAACAGAGCAATCGCACCAGGGTTCGTTTTAATCGAACCAAACATGACAAGTGTGAACGTACCCTTAGCAATAGCCAAAAAAACATTGTATGGGTCAAAATGATCGATTTTTCTTTTATGCCAAAAATCATTAGAATATTAAGTAAAGATCATGTTCCATGAAGATATTTTGTAAATTTCCTACCGTAAATATATCAAAACTTCATTTTTTATTAGTAAATATGCATTGCTGAGAACTTATTTTGGACAACTTTAAAGGCGATTTTCTCAGTTTTTTTAAGTTTTTTGCACTCTCAGATTCCAGATTTTCAAATAGTTGTATCTCGGACAAATATTGTCCTATCATACATCAATGGAAAGCTTATTTATTCAGCTTTCAGATGATGTATAAACCTCAATTTAAAAATTCATTTGGACAACTTTAAAGGCGATTTTCTCAGTTTTTTACATTTTTTTGCACTCTCAGATTCCAGATTTTCAAATAGTTGTATCTCGGACAAATATTGTCCTATCATACATCAATGGAAAGCTTATTTATTCAGCTTTCAGATGATGTATAAACCTCAATTTAAAAAAATTCACCATTATGACTGGTTTTGTGGTCCGGGGTCTCAAATAGGGTCTGTGTTCTTTTTTTTTCCCCTTTGGAGACAGTAGCTTTGACTGTATATGTGTGTTTATCTTAGCTTCTGGAAACGGGCAGCAGTCAGCTGCACAGATGCCAAGCAGCAGTCAACAGAACAGGGTGTTACAGCAGCTGCAGCCTGGAGACCTTCGACTGCAACAGCTACATCATCATCAACAACAACAACAGCAGCAGCAGCACAATATACACCATCAACAGCAAGTCACTGCACAGCAGCTACAGTACCTGCAACAGGTAATTAGTGGCTCAGGAGGTCTAGACCAATGTGAAGCAGCTTTCAGGTCTTTTGGACCTTAAGTTTAAACCAATGTCTTACAGGTCTTTAAAAATTATTGTATTTAGGCAAAAGTGCAGTTTCAAGGGTTTATTAAATCTGCTGCAGATGCATATAGTGTATTTTTATATGGCTCACTTAAGTAGTTGTGGAAAATCCCAGTGGCATAAATAGTTTTCTGTGTGTGTGTTAGAGCATGATCTGTTGTGACAGTCAGTTGGTTCTTGTTTGGATTGATCATTGTCGTCTGTTGATGAGCACATGACTACATTAAGTATAATAAATAACCTAGAATATGGCAGAACTGTTTACATTCAGCATTTTTATGTGCCTATTAGACTTGTGCCGGTTTTCGGTAATGGGATATATCACTGTAATGAATATGCACGATATTGTTATCGTGGGCTCTTCTAAATACCGTGAATAATTATATATTATAAGTTATTCAGAATTTTGAATGCATTTTAAGAATACTTTTCCCATCAACTGGTCAAAATGCACAACACCGCTATATGCTGCGTGAAAGACACGTGCGCACTGATGTGAATAAGCGCGGACGAGAAGCACATGGCGGAACATGTGAGAGACGCTCTGGATGAAAGCGCACTTTCACTCTCTGACAGCAGATGGCGCTAAAGTGCAGAAATAATAATAATAGTAATAATTCATTTAAATGAAACCCTGTAAACAAAGCAGCTGCTCTACTTTCTGTTTCTGAATCGTTTAAATGATTTAAACAGCCATTCAGATTTGTGTATTTGCTATGATGTTCATCACAGAGCCAAATACTTAAATATCTTTTTGCACTACAAATCATTATATCTGCACTGTTGTTTACTTCACTGGTTTGCACTCTATCTGCCATGTGCCGTGTGCTGCTTTATATATATTTTTTTATATATTTTTTTACATTTTACCTTATTTGTATATTTGTATAGTTGTATTTTATACTTAATCTGTATATCTGTATTTATGTTCTACTGTTAGTGTTATCTGTATGCACCAAGGGTCTGAGAGTAACGCAATTTCAATTCTCTGTGTGTATGTGCTGTACATGTGGAAGAATTGACAATAAAGCAGACTTGAACTTGAACTTGATATAAATTATATTGTTATATTATTTTTTTATTGTTTTGTTTTAAGGAATGGCTTACTAATTTGAGAATGTTAATTTGTAGGTATTACATTTAGAAATATACTATATTAGAATACTATAATGTAATTTGTAAATCCACAATTATTCATTTGCCAGTATTGTCTCGTGGTATTGCAGCTCTGCTCTACACACACAGGTGGCGCTGTGTGCTTTTAATTTCACTATTAGTGCACAGCTGCTGGTTCTCTGGTTAATCATACAGAGCCCTTCTTCTGTGACATACAATTTAGTGAAATAGATTATCTAAAAAGAAAAATAAATGTAGGGTGGGGATTTGTTTGCTGTCCATTGGTTGTTGATCAGATATGGCAGATCTGAATGCAAGCTTGCAGTTGATAGTAAGAAAGCAACAGAGTTTAAGCTGATTAAATTATTGGAGAAGTCCGGCACCACAGAGAAGTCTGTTGTTTCACTGGAACTTCAAGTTATGACATTTTGATTAAGAATTATGAGTTAATAAAAATTGAAAAAATGAGCATGGATGAATTGTTCACATGAAGATCAATAACAACATGCATTTAGAAAATTTAGAATTTTCAAAAAAATGGACAACTCAAATTACAAGCAATATTTAGGGAACACCACAGCCCCTTTCCTCTTTTCTCTATTCATGTAGCACTGATTTCCAATGTTTATTTTTAATTATTTTTTTCATATTTCTACTAGACAGTAGGGTTGTGACGGTGAGGAAATTTTCCCACCGATTAATCGACGTGTGACAACACCGGTATCACCGTGGGGGCGGGGGCCGGGGGCGTTTCCTCTTTTCCTCGCTTTCCTTCGCTTTTAAATAGCTTGTAAAAGCAGCGTGCGCATTTTAATTTCACTTTGAAATAGCGGCAATTCGGCGTAAAGCAATTGTTCGTTTTTAGTTCGTTTGAATTTTCCCTCTTTTCCTCGCTTTCCGTCGCTTTTAAATAGCTTAAAAGCGCCGTGCGCATTTTACTTTCACTTTTGAATTAGCGGCAGTTAGGCGTCAATTGCTTGAATGCAACAACAAAATACAACGTCAAACTCAACCGGTATCACCGTCAACACCGTCTATCGCGGCAAGCCTACTAGACAGCCAAGTTTTATTAACAGCCCATCTAGTCAGTGGTGAATTACCTCTTTAATTATCAAATTAAACAATACATTCTTTTTCACTGCAAAATGCTGTGATGAAAATATTTACTTGTTTGGTGCTCCAATAAAAAAAAAAATAATGTTGAGTCACTGTCTGTGAGGCCAGTGCTCATTCCACTAGCAAAGAAGTTGGTGGTTCTGTCATGAACTGTAGTGTTTTTTATCACTCTGTGTAAACAACATGTTTAATGTCTTGTTGTCTAGAGTTCAAGTCTGGTGCCCTGAATTTTAAACGTACGTTATGCGATGGTATAAAACACGGTATAAACTGGTATAATCTACTGTTACTAAACCTATTAAGAAGCATAAATTTATCCCCCACACTCATCACAACAGTTTGTCCACTGACATCTCTCTCTCTCTTTTCACAGTATCATCAGGCCATGCAACAGAGCCTTCAGATGCAGCAACAGCATATGCTTCAGCAGCAGATGATGATGCAGCAGCCCATATATCAATCCCAGCAGCAACAGCAGGCTCACTACACTGCCTTGGTGAGACGCCTCATACACCTGGAACATTAATGGCAGGGCTGTGTGTTTACTTTTTAAAGAGGAAGTTTGCCAGATTTTAAATAGATGCAGTTATAATATAGGAGAGATTTATAAATGAATGTTGTGAAGGAATGGAGGATGGTGCTGCTTTAGTTGTAAATTTAGCCAGTATGTGTATGTCAGTAGGTTATGTTGTTTATTGTGTTTAATTAATAATTTTTGTTGGAAGTCTGAAATTAGATGTCTTTGCCTTAAATATTCATTTGGCCCCACTAACTGAAGCAGTCTTCTGTGCCAAACTGTTTCTCCATCCAAGTGAATGTCACCCAATTGTATCTGTTAGTAATTCCTTTGAATTGTATTTACGCTAAAACAGGAAATGTTGCTAACTGACTTTTGCTAAATACATAATGTTAAGGCGGAGCAATTTTTAGCTCATTTTCCACCGAATGGTTACCATCTGATTAATTTCAGATGCAATCTGCTCCATGCAAAACCATCAGGGGATTGAATGGGGTGGTGAAATCGACCGATTTTCTGTGTTAAATCATAGCATATGAGGCAATTACACTGTAGGGAAATTCGAAGGCCTCTGTGGCGCGCTTTCTGTCTTTGTGTCTCTTTCAATCTCCCTGTGTCCTCATGGCCATTTTGTATAGAAAAAGCACACTTTTCTTTGTGTTAAGCAAAAGTTAAGAAAGGGATGATGCACAGCCATCTATTTAGTCATTATCACAAAATACCCAGGATGACCAGGTCTTGTGTTTCCCTAAAGGGTTTAATAATATGCAGTTTTGGATATTATATCCTGCTTATTACACAGCTGCTCGCCAAATAATAATGGACATGGAATATTGTTTTGAGTTACTTGCAGTTTATTGTAAATCCATTGCATCATATAACACATCAAACATTTAGCCTAGCAACACAATGGATGCTGCTGTGTGATACAAGCAGAGGCGGACTTAACCATTAGGCAAAGGTAGGCGACCGCCTTGGGTCCCCAAAAGCAAAGGGCCCCCTAAAATGCTTTTTATATGCGAGATGCGCGTTCAGTGCGGACGCGCAAGTGGTTGCTCTGGTGTTCATTACCACGACAACCGTCTGTGCGTCCGCGTTGAACGTGTTTCTTAGCAAAAGTAGGGCGATGTAGAAAATGGGGATGGAATCCCGGAATTTACTGTGTAACGCGGAATGTGACGGAATGAACAGCGCAGACGCGCGTTTCGTTTGCTAGTTTGCTATTTAAGCACGTGCAACGCTCGCGGTTGACGTCTGTAGTAGCTAAATAGTATTTTTGCCATTTAATATTCACATACACTAGTCCATATCACATTTGATTGAAGTGTACTGAATTGCATTTGATTTATTCATTCAATATTTGACGAATTCCGTGACATTGCTCATTACACAGTAAACTTCTGTTGTGTAGCATTTTGAATGTACAAAAATTAAAGGGTTTGTTTAATTTTCATTGGAATAAAAGATAGATTCATGTTTTTGCCTTCATTTGATTACCAGAAAAATGAAAATACACACAGTCACTTTCCACACAGGCACACTTCATGTTTGGTTGAAATAATCCTTAAGCATGTAAATGTATAATTTCCTTCAGTTTAATTTAAATGTGCAATTAAAATAAATAAAAAATAAATGTATATTTTAAAGTTTAGAATTAGACAGCCTTGCGTTGTGTAGACAATTGCATAGTGAAAATTACCCCAACGCACCACCTAGTGTCCAACTATAACCTGTTTAAATATGAACAATGGATTTACAGCATTAAAGAAATCCTTTATTTATAACATGTACATGAAAAATCTAAAAGATTGGACACAACTATGGGACACGGTCGTGCAGCAGCGAGCAACAGTGAAAGAAACCTCAAGGTTGTAAATGTGTGAAATTGTATAGGGCCCCATTCCTGTATTTTGCCTGGGGCCCCCAAATCACTAAATCCACCCCTGGATACAAGAGACATGAAAGTAGCACCATTATGTTGTCAAAGTGAAGATCTGAAGATAGATGAGCATTAGCACACTGCAGTAGGCACGGTTTAAACCTGCCTATGGAAATAGGGCCACAGTTTACTAAATTGAGTTTATTTGCTTGTCTCCTTACAGATGCATCAGTACCAGCAGGCCTTTGTTCAGCAGCAGCAGCAGCAATGTGCTCCAGTCCAACAGGTGCCCTATATCTCCCCACTGGAGTTCCAGACCCCACTGGGCTCCTATAACCCTGCCGGACCTTCTCCAGTAGACACCCCCTTTGCTAACATCAGGCAAGCATCTTGAACATTATTACTGATGTACATCTCTATAGCCAGCCTGTCACACTGAGTGAAAATTTACTGCTATCATCGAATTTCACAGTAGAATGTACACTACCATTGAAAAATTTGGGGTTGTTAATGATTTTTTTGAATGGATTATGCTCACCCAGGATGCATTAATTTGATCAATAAAACAGTAATATTGTGAAATATTATTACACTTAATAAATAAAAGTAACTCTTGTATTTTAATATACTTTAAAATGTTATTTATCCCTGTGATGGCAAAGTGAATTTTACTTTACTTCAGCCATTACTTCAGTCTTCAGTGTCATATGATCCTTCACAAATGTTATTATGATCAATGTTGAAAACAGTTGTGGTCAATGTTTTTGTAGAAACCATGATGCATTTTTTTCATGATTCTGAAAAAAGAACAGCATTTATTTGAAACAGAATTCTTGGTAACGTTTATGAATGTCTATAACTGTCACTTTTGAATTTAATGTGTTCTAGCTGAATAAAATATTTAATTTCTATTCATTTTTGAGTAGTTTGAATAGCACTGTTACACACACAGAAACTTTGTTATGCAGTCAACAAGTCAACAAAAGTGAAAAGTGCTGTGTATATATTGACTCATTAACGTGTAACTCTTTTCTTTTTTCTGTTGTTGTAGAAACCCAGTGTCCACTGTGGATGTTATCAGCCCTCCTCCCCAGACTGTCAATAACCCTCCTGATATGTCTGGTTGGAACCCATTTGGAGAAGACAATTTCTCCAAACTCACAGAAGAGGAGCTTCTCGATCGAGAGTTCGACCTTCTAAGAGCAAGCAAGTGTCTCTATTTGTTTTTGTGTCTGTGTGTTCTGAGTCTGTTTTAGAATTGCATCCTCTTCTAGTATTCTATTCTACACCCTCTCCAGCAGAGGGCATACACATCTTGCTTTATTGCTACACTAACATTTTCTACGTGTCTGCCACCCTTGTTCCCCACAGAAAAGCCGGTAGAGCGATCTCGCAGCATGGAGGCCAGCAGCATAGACAGACAGCAGCCGGTACTGCAGCTCTCACTCCCTGAGGATCCATTTGGCTCTGTGCCGTTCCTGGCCAACGCAGGCAAGTTCTAGCAGCCGGCTCTCAAAGGACCCTCACCAAAGTTCCCTGTTTACCGTCCTCCTCTCTCCTCATATCTGTGCTCCCCTATTCCTGCTCTTCACAGCCTCTTTCTGTTTCTCTGCTCGCTGGATGTGGCCCCTCTACACCACATATCAGTCACATCTGGAGTCGGGAGACAAAAAATCAATGTTACCATTTATTCCTTTAACCACTTTAAATGCATACATTTTTTAGACAGTTACAATCTTGTCATTATTTAAACAAACCCTGTATGTCTTAGAAGAACTTTTTTGTTTTTATTTCTCACTGTTCATTAGGTGTAGACAAGATAAAAATGTGATAAAACACTATATATCTGGTATATACATAGATTTAGATATTATATATATAGACAGTTACT